GTGTAAGTTGGTGGTCTAGTTTCATTTTTTGCATGTATCTTTCCAAATTTCCCAACACCATTTATTGAAGAGACTGTCTTGACTCCATTATATGCTCTTGTCTCCTTTGTCAAATATTAATTGAGCATAATGGTTTGGTTCCATTTCTGGGGTTTTTGTTCTGTTCCATTGATCTGTATGCCTGTTCTTGTGCCAGTACCAGGCTGTTTTGATTAAGGTGGCTTTGCAGTATAACTTGAAATCTGGTATTGTGATTCCTCCAACTTTGTTCTTCTTTGTCAAGATTGCTGCAGCTATTTGGGGCTTTTTTGGTTCCATATAAATTTCTGGAGTATTTGCTCCAGATCTGTGAAGTATGCCATTGGTATTTTAATGGGGATTGCAATGAATCTATCAATTCCTTTGGGTAGTATGAGCATTTTAATGATGTTGCTTCTACCAATACATGAACACAGAATATTCTTCCATTTATTTATAACTTTTTCTATGTTTTTTTTCAACATCCTATAGTTTTCTGTGTACATATCTGTTACCTCCTTGGTTAAATGTATTCCTAAGTATCTTAAATTCTTTGTTGCAATGGTACATAGGTTTGTTTGTTTAGTTTCTTTTTCTGAGAATTCATTATCAGTGTATAAAAGAAACCATTCATTTTTGGGTGTTGATTTTGTATCCTGCTACATTGCTAAATTTATTTATTAAATCTACTTGTTTTTTTGTGGAGTCTTTAGGGTTTTCTATGTAAAATATCATGTCATAAAAAATAATAGGGGTTTTACTTCCTCCTTTCCAATTTGAATGCCCTTTATTTCTTCTTCTTGTCTGATCACTGTAGCTAGAAATTTCAGTACTATGTTGAATAGAGTGGGTAAAACAGACATCCCTGTCCTGTTCCTGTTCTTAGGGGAATTGGTTTTAGCTTTTGCCCATTGAGTAAAATATTTTTAGCTTTTGCCCATGATGTTGGCTGTAGGTTTGTCATATATGGCTTTATCATGTTGAGATATGCTCTTTATATTCTTACTTTGTTGAGAGTTTTTATCAAAAGTGGGTGTTGAATTTTGTCAAATGCTTTTTCTGTGTCTATTGATATGATCATGTGATTTTTGTCTTTCAATTTGTTTATATGATATACCACATTTATAGATTTGCAAATATTGTACTAGCCTTACATCCCTGGAGTAAATTCCACTTGGTCAAAATGTATGATCTTTTCAATATACTGTTGGATTTGATTTGCTAATATTTTGTTGAGGAATTTTGCATCTATGTTCATCAGAGATATTGACCTCTAATTATCTTTCTTTGTAGTGTCTTTATCTGGTTTAGAATTAGGATAATGCTGGCCTCATAAAAGGAGCTTGGAAATGTTCCTTCTTCTTGGATTTTTGGAATATTTGAAGAGGGTAGGTGTTAGTTCTTCTTTGAGCGTTTGTTAAAACTCCCTTATGAACCCATCCCTACATTAGCTTTTGTTTGCTGGGAATTTTTTGATTACTGCTTCTATTTCTTCAGTTGTTATTGGCCTATTCAGGTTTTCTGATTCTTCCTGATTCAGTTTTGGGAGACTATATTTTTCCTGGAATTTGTCCATTTCATCGACATTGTCCATGTCGTTATCATATGGTTTTTCAAAATATTTTCTTAGAATTCTTTGTATTTCTGTGGTGTCAGTTGTCACTTCTCCACTTTCATTTCTTTTTTTTAAAAAAAATATATTTTATTGATTTTTTTACAGAGAGGAAGGGAGAGAGATAGTTAGAAACATTGATGAGAGAGAAACATCGATCAGCTGCCTCCTGCACATCTCCCACTGGGGATGTGCCCGCAACCCAGGTACATGCCCTTGACCGGAATTGAACCTGGGACCTTTCAGTCCGCAGGCCGACGCTCTATCCACTGAGCCAAACCGGCTTTGGCTCCACTTTCATTTCTGATTTTATTTTTTGGGTCCTCTTTGTTTCTTGATGGGTATGGCTAACAGTTTATCAATTTTGTTTATTCTTTCAAAGAACCAGCTCTTGGTTTCTTTGATTTTTTTAAAATATATTTTATTGAATTTTTACAGAGAGGAAGGGAGAGAGACAGAGAGTCAGAAACATCGATGAGAGAGAAACATCGATCAGCTGCCTCCCGCACATCTCCCACTGGGGATGTGCCCGCAACCAAGGTACATGCCCTTGACAGGGATCGAACCTGGGACCCTTCAGTCCGCAGGCCGACGCTCCATCCACTGAGCCAAACCGGTTTCGGCTCTTTGATTTTTTTATATTGTTTTCTTTTCTTTATTTTTTATTTTTTTAAATATATATTTCTTTATTGATTTCAGAGAGGAAGGGAGAGGGAGAGAGAAATAGAAAAATCAACGATGAGAGAGAATCATTGATCGTCTGCCTCCTGCATGTCCCCTACTGGGGATTGAGCCCACAACCCAGGCATGTGCCCTTGGCTGGAATCGAACCTGGGACCTTTCAATCCACAGGCTGATGCTCTATCCACTGAGCTAAACTGGCTAGGACTATATTGTTTTCTTAGTCTCTATGTTATTTATTTCTGCTCTTATTTTTATTAATACTTTCCTTCTACTTCCTCGGGGCTTTTCTTGTTCTCTTTCTAGTTCTTTAAGTGGTAGGGTTAACTAGTTTATTATTAATTTTTCTTGTTTTTTTGAGTTAGGCCTGTAGTACTATGAACTTCCCTCTGGAGACTACTTTTGCTGTGTCCCAGAAATTTTTGATTGTTTTGTGTTCATTTGCATTTGTTTCTCAGAAGGTTTTATTTCTTTCGTGTTCTTGTTGGTAACCCATTCATTGTTTAATAACATGCTTGTAGCCTCCATGTGTTTGAATGTTATTGGGGTGTTTTTACTGTAATTGATTTCTAATTTCATTCCACCATGATCTGAGAAAATGCTTGATATGATTTCAATCTTCTTGAACTTGTAGAGACTTGTTTTTTGTCCTCACATGTGGTCCATCTTTGAGAATGGCCCATCTGTACTTGAGAAAAAATGTACATTCTACAAATTTGGGGTGAAATGTTCTATAATTGTCAATTCATTCCATCTGACCCAGTGTGTCCTTTAGGGTCACTGTTTCCTTGTTAATTTTTTGTCTGGAAGATCTATCCAGTGAAGTCAGTGGGGTGTTAAGGTCCCCTACTATGACTGTATTGTTGTCATTCTCTTCCTTACAATCCTCTAGAAGATTTTTTTATCTATCTAGGTGCTCCTGTATTGGGTGCATATGTGTTTACCAAGGTTATATCCTCTTGTTGGATGGATTTCTTTAGTATTATGTGTGATCTTTGTTATCTCTTGTGATGGCCTTAATTTTGAAGTCTATTTTTTCAGATATGAGTATTGCTACCCCAGCTTTTCTCAATCCTCTAACTCTCATCCTGTCTGAGTCTTTTGTTCTGAGGTAGGTCTCCTGTAGACAGCATATAGCTGCGTCAGGTTTTTGTATCCATTCAGCTACCCTATATCTTTTGATTGGAGCCTTCAATTCATTTACATTTAAGGTTATTATTGAAAGGTATTTATTTATTGCCATTTTAATTCTGTATGGCTAGGTTTATCTCTCTCTGTTTCTTCTTCTCATTACAGCAGTCCCTTTATCATTTCTTGTAATGCTGGCTTGGTGTTGATGAACTCCTCTGGCCGTGTTTTTGGCTGGGAATCTCCTTATTTCACTATTTTTGAATGATAGCCTTGCTGGCTATAGTAATCTTGGTTTCAGATCGTTGCTCCCCATTATGTTGAGTACTTCATGCCATTCCTTTCTGGCCTATAGAGTTTCTGAGAAATCTAGTGTCAGCCTTATGGGAGATCATTTGTAGGTAACAGTTTGCTTTTCTCTTGTTGCCTTTAAGATTCTCACTTTGACTTTAATTTTTGGCATTTTAAGTACGTTTTGTCTGGGCATGAGTCTGTTGGGTTCTTCTTGCTTGGGACTGTCTGTCTAATGAATTGTGTGACTTTCTTCTTTACCAGGTAAGGAAGTTTTCTGCCATTATTTCTTCAAACATGTTCTCTATCCTTTTCTCCCTTTCTGCCCCCGCTGGCACACCTATTTAAATATTGTTGTTTCACATTATCCCACAGCTCTCTTATGCTGTCCGCCTGTTTTTTCATTATTTTTTCTCTTTGGTTCTCTCATTTAGTGAATATATTACCAATTACACACAAAAAATAAATATACTTTTTAATAATAATATCCTAAGAGGATGCTGATATAAGACAAATACAAAAGTTAGCAATGGTCCATAAAAATTACTTTTTAAATTATTATAGCTATTCAGGTATCCTAAGAAGTGTAGATGAAGGGCTCTCCATGCTCCTATTGCCCTATAAAACATGCTCACCTGGACAGTGAACTCCTATGCATACTTCAAAGCCCAGCTGAAATGTCTGCTCCCCAAAGAAACCTTCTCTGACCTCCAAGAAGCATAGTTCTTCTTCTACACTTGAGATCACACTACAGATGGCTAGGAGTTTCTGTGCTGGAGTTTGTTTCCCATTCTACCTCAGCATGGAAGACTCTGAAAGTAGACTCTGAGGAAAGGTTTGGTTAATAAGTGCACAGACGAAACTGGACTGGGCTAGGCCCAGATTTCTGAGCTGGGGGGATCCATTGCCCTCAGAGTTCCTCCACTACAATGTGGGTGTAACAAGGAAAGGTCCCTGTTCACACAATGACCTTGCCCCTGAGGAAGGCCAGGGCAGGGGGCACTTGTGCTCCTGTTGTAGGAGGACATGTCCTCAGGTTATTTACCCTAGGACTTGCTGGCCCAGGGAATTAGGAAAATATTGAGAAATCTGGGGCAGCCCCAGGGCGGGAGAAGCCATGGGGAGTAGAGGGCTGGGCTGAGTGGGGGAAAGGCAGGAGCCAGATAAATGGAGGCCTCCAGCAGCCTCTGATCAGTCCTCCCTATCCTCTCCCTCCAACCCTCTGTCCCTCCGTCCCTCTGTCCTTCCACTGTCCCTCTGTCCCTGTACCATGGAACCTGCCTCAGGTCCCAGCCTCCTGCTGGTGCTGCTGAGCAGTCTCCTCCTGGTCCTGGGGGACCCCATGTGAGTAGTCATGACACTACCCCAAGCAAGGCAACTTCTGAGGTAGAGTGGTCATTTGTGGGTTCAGGTCCTTGTAGAATTCAGGGTGCGTTATGCCTGTGGAGGAGGAGTTAGTGGGGTGGAATGCTAATAGATGGGGCTGCCTGTGACTTTGAGAGTCTGTGGGTTGGGTGTTTGTGAAATCCAGGCATTGTGTAGAGGGGTGTGTGGATGTTTATGAAGCTGGGGGTCTGTAGGTTTAGAGTGCAGGTGGTGTTTGGGGATTCTGTGGATGTGGTGGTTTGACTTTACATGATTTGGGAGTTTGCAGTTTCCGGATTTATGGGTTCAATGTGTGTAGAGCTGTGGCATAGGATTATGTTGGCTGGGGGTGGGAGTGGTTTTAGTTGTGTTTTAGGCCTGGGTGATAAAGGTTTAGGTAGAGTCTTGGGGTGTTCAAGGATTTGGGGTTCAAAGATTTAGTATATGTGAGTTTGGGTATGTATAGTTGGGGTGCCTGAGGGTCTGGGTGTTTAGAGACTTAAGGTGTTTAAAGATGTAGGGATCTGGGTTTCATGAGTACATATGTGGGTTCCCCAACTGTGGTGTTGGAAGTCTAAATAATTGGGGGACTTGCTGGTTCTGGTTTTGAGGTTCCTGCAGGGCCAGGGCCTGGGAAGACCCCCATGTGGGCTGGAATGTCGGGTCCCTGGTATTACCCGGTGCACTCCTCCTGCAGGTTCTCCATAATCACCCCCAATATCTTGCGGCTGGAGAATGAGGAGACCGTGGTGCTGGAGGCCCACGGTGGGACAGGTAACATTCCTGTCAAGGTTACGGTACACGACTTCCCAGGCAAGAAGCAGGTGCTGTCCAGCGAGGACACCATTCTGAACAGCGCCAATGGCTACCTGAGCACCGTCACCATCAAGGTGGGTGCACACTGGAGCCACCCGCGGGTGCCTTGCCCCCTGTGGGTCTTCTTCCCATAGCCTCACCTATGAGCCCTGCCCCTTCTTCAGCCCTTCCCTTTTTTTAATTATCATGAGAATATGCTTTCACCGAGAGGAAAGCAGAAAGAGACAGAGAGAGAGAGAGAGAGAGAGAGAGAGAGAGAGAGACATTGATGCGAGAGATAAACATGATCAGTTGCCTCCAGTACACACACTGGCTGGGAAATCAAACCTGAAACCTGGGTAGGTGCCCTGATCAGGAGTTAAACCTGGGGAACTTTTGGTGCACAGGTCCAAGCTCCAACCAACTGAGCAACACCAGCCAGGGCAGCCCTTCCCCTCCACATTCTCCTCCCAATTTGGGCCCCTCCTTCTACTGGCCCCGCCCCCTTCTAAGCCCCTCCCTCACTCTGAGCCCCTTCCCTTGCAAACCAGACAATCTCTGTACCCCTCCTTTCAGAGCCCTTTCCCCTCCAAGCCCTCTCTTCCATCAAGCCCCTCCCCTCTCTGAGTCTCCTCCCCTTTCTGGGCCCCCTTCCACTACTGAGCCCTCCATCCTCTGAGCCCCCTCTCTGATCCCCTTTCCATTCCTCTCTCTGACCCCTAGCCCATCTATTGCTCTTGCCCCTCTCTGAGTACCCTCCTCCCCCCAAACCCGGGCAAACCAGAGAGACCAGGCAGGAGTGAGGCTCAGGCTCTGTTGTGAGGAGGGGCAGATGTGGACCCAGCTGAAGGCCCAGAGGTTGGACGGTGGGCAAGGGGCCCTGGAGCAGACCCCTCCTCACGCCCTCCCCCATCCATGCCTAGATCCCGGCCAGCAAGGAGTTAAAATCACAGAAGGGGAACAAGTTTGTGAGTGTCCAGGCGGCCTTTGGGAATGCCCCGCCAGTGGAGAAGGTGGTGCTAGTCAGCTTTCAGAGCGGGTATCTCTTCATCCAGACAGACAAGACCATCTACACCCCAGGCTCCACAGGTAAGGGGCTGGTGGGTGGCTCAGAGGGCTGGGGCTGGGTCATTGGGAGGGGCAGGGCCTCACTGAGCTGTCCCTTTCTCTCCTGCCACCTCCCAGTCCTCTACCGGATCTTCACTGTGGACAATGAGCTGCTGCCCGTGGGCCGGACGGTTGTCGTCAGCATTGAGGTACCAGGCAGCTGGGCCCCCAGACACACTTGGGGCAGAGACTCAAGGAGAGACTAAGAGAGAGTTTGAGACAGAAAGAGATACTAGGAAAGACTCTAAGGCAAGCATGTCAAACTCAAAGGCTAACAGGGCCATATGAACAAGGTGTAAGTGTATGTGGACCGCAAAAAAACAAAAGTTTTAATTTTTATAGAAACATAGGTTTATTTTGATAGAGACATGCTGAATACAAAGGGCTGAAATAAATGAGTAATCATTAACATAAAATAAAAGAATATTTTAATGAAAATCAATATTTTTTCTTGAACATTAACTTACCAGACACTAATAACTGCACAAATTAATAAGCATAACGCAAATAAACCTATTTTTCTTGTTCTCTGAACGCAAAATATTTCCTGATGTGCACAACAAAGAAGTCAGTCTAAGACTAATGACATTGCAATCGGCTGCTAAAATATTTGCTGCTAGTATTAGTGGAGAGAAATGGTGCACCTGCGCATAAGGCGCTAAGGGAAATGAATGCAACACGATTATAGTAATTAGTCATTAGCGAATGTTGTTGTTCGTTATTAATAATTATGTATAACAGGATATTGTAAAAATTAAGTTAAAAATTTTTATTAAAACGTTTCTTACATACCGTTATATTAGCTGGGCCACAAAAATATTCCCTGTGGGCTGCACGTGGCCCGCAGGCCCCGAGTTTGACATGCTTGCTTGCCCTAAAGCAAAAAAATATATAGAGGCACTAACACGGAGGCCTAGAGATGGGTGGGGACGCAGGGAGCCAGCATGGGGCAATGCTTGCACCTGTGAATTCCACCTCCAGATAAACCCCTGGTCCCTGTGACTCTGGCCAGGTCACTCACCTTCCTGAGCCTAAGTTTTCTCATCTGAAGATTGGAGTAGTTACATAATTCTGGGTAGGAGTCTGTTCCGCCTACTATGCCAGGAGGCGCCTATGAGCCCCTGAGTCAGGTCCAGCCCCTCCTCTGCTCCCAGCCCTCCAGGACTCCTCCCTCCCTCCAGATAAAAGCTCAAGGCCTGGCTCAGTGGTTGAGTGTCTACCTATGAACCAAGAGATCAAGGTTCGATTCCAGTCACGGCACATGGTCAGGTTGCAGGCTAGATCCCAACTAATCAGTGATTCCCTCTCATCATTGATGTTTCTCTCTCTTCCTCTCCCTTCCCCTCTGATATCAATAATAAATGTATATTTTTAAAAAACCTGAAGTCCTCCCTGTGACCTACATGGCCCTGGATGACCTCCCTTGTCCCTTACCTGCCCTTACCTCCTCCCGCTATCCCTCTCACTCACTCTATTCCAGCCACACAGGCCTCTTCCCTGTTCCTCTGACACACGAGGCAGACTCTCCTGCCCCAGGGCCTTTGCACTGGTTGTTTTCTCTGCCTAGAAAACAATCTTCCTCCAAATATGCACACTACTGGCCCCTTATCTCCTTCAAGACTTTGTTCAGATGTCACCAATACCCCAATTTTACAGTGAGGCCTTTCTGAGCTCCTGTAAATTTTCAACCCCCTCCCATCCACACATGCACTCCACTCTCTCTTCCTGCCATCCTTTTGGCATCCTGTAAACTGGATTTATTCATTTATTAATTGCCCCCTCCACCAACCTCTGTGGAAACTCAATTCCCTACAGGAAAGAGGTTTGTTTGTTTTTAAATATATTTTTATTGATTTCAGAGAGGAAGGGAGAGGAAGAGAGATAGAAACATCAATGATGAGAGAGAATCATTGATCAGCTGCCTACTGCACGGCCCCTACTGGGGACCGAGCCCGAAACCTGGGCATGTGCCCTTGACCCGAATAGAACCCAAGACCCTTCAGTCCAGAGGCTGACGCTCTATCCACTGAGCCAAACTGGCCCGGGCTACAGGAAAGAGTTTTTATCTGTTTGTTCAGGGCCTTATTCCTGAATTCAAGAAAGTGCTTGACATATGGTGGGGCTTAATACAAAGTGATGGGAGAAAGGAGTCAGGGAGGGAGAAAGGAAGAAGCGAAATGTCACCTGTGCCAACAGGAGGGCACTATCCAGTTACCCTGGTTTCCAAGAGAAGCCAGAGAACCAGATTTCTATGTGGTGTCTCCCGATGTTTAACTGTTGACAAGAAATGAAATAATATATGTGTACACCAGATTGCGATTCTTGTAGGACAAAAGGTTGAACAGAGCAATTATGTATGGCTTAGCACAAATGAAATGCTCAGCCCAAAAGTAGGCAATACATTCTAGTGATTCTTAATATTAGGGGAACACTCATAATAATGAGCTCCTGCTCACATGAACAATGTCCCAAGACAGAGGGGCTGTATTTATCTCCTGTTTTTAGATGTGCACATTGAGCACAGAGAAGTTAAGTAACTTGGCCAAGTCACATAGCTTGTAGGTAGCACAGTGGGATTTGAACCCAGGCTGTCCAACTCAGGTCCACGTTCTTAGCCACTGCTGCTGTACACATGACAGAGACTGTCCAGACACAGAGCGGGAGAGGAGGGCCAAGGGGCTAAGCCTGCTCTGAAGAACCACACCCCTCCCTGTCTTTCTACAGACGCCCGAAGGCATTCCCATTAAGCGGGACCCCCTCTCTTCTCAAAACCACTTTGGCATCTTGCCCTTGTCTTGGAACATCCCAGAGCTGGTCAAGTGCGTCAGGCCCTCCAGGAGTGGGTTTGGGGCTCCCCTATCCCAGGAGGAGTGGGGGGCTGCCAGGTCTGACCAGATACTCACCTACCTTCCCCACAGCATGGGGCAGTGGAAGATACGAGCCCACTATGAAGATTCGCCACAGCAGGTCTTCTCGGCTGAGTTTGAGGTGAAGGAATATGGTAAGAGAAGGAGGGAGCCAGCGTGTGGGCCCCATAATTCTGGGCTCAGTGCTGGCCCCTCACAGTGCTGTCTCTCTCCCCCAAACTCCTGCCCCAGTGCTGCCTAGTTTTGAGGTCCAAGTGGAGCCTGCAGAGAAATTCTACTACATTGATGACCCTAAGGGCCTGGAGGTTACCATCACAGCCAGGTGAGGAGCCAGGAGAGGGACCAAGTAAAGAATTGGGTGGGACCTAATGAAGGACCAGGTGAGGGCCTGGTGAGGGTGAGGTGAGGGACTGGGGATTCTGGGTCCTCTCCGTGGCCAGTGGAAGTTTGGGGGGAGACTCAGTTTTTCAGGAGACTCTCCTCTCTGTGCAGGTTCCTGTATGGGAAGAACGTTGATGGAACAGCCTTTGTCATCTTTGGGGTCCAGGATGGTGACCAGAGGATTTCACTATCCCAGTCACTCACCCGTGTTGTGGTACCTACCAGGGGCCCCCAGAGCTTCCTCCACTCTGAACCCTTCCCTCTCACTCTCTGAATCCCCTCCCCGCTGAGTCCCTCCCACTCTGAGCCCTCATTTCCTATCCCAGATCCAGGATGGCACTGGAGAGGCTGTGCTGAAAAGAGAGGTTCTGCTGAGTGCGGCTCCGCAGCCCCCTCGAGAAGCTGCCCTAGTGGGAAAGTCATTGTATGTGTCTGTCACCGTCATCCTACAGTCAGGTGAGGCCTGGGTGGAAGGTGGAGGCTCAGTTCCTCCATGCAGTCCAGTCTGAGAGGGGAGGCCCAACTGACGGAGGAGGCCCAGAATGAAGATGGGTCAGTCTTATGATAGAGGCCCCGTCTGAGGATGGAAGTCCAATATGAAAGCGTCAGGGTCCAATGCAGGGGGAAGCCTGGCCTGAAGGGTGGCCCAGGAGCAAACCCTCACAGCTGACACCCTCAGGCAGCGACATGGTGGAGGCAGAGCGCAGCGGGATCCCCATCGTGACCTCCCCCTACCAGATCCACTTCACCAAGACACCCAGGTTCTTCAAACCTACCATGCCCTTTGACCTCATGGTGAGACCCTGGGCAAGGTTGAACCCCACTCCTGAGCACTGGCCACGTCTCTGGGTCTGCTGAACCTCTCCACCTTTCCCTGCACCCACAGGTGTACGTGACGAACCCCGATGGCTCCCCGGCCGGCCGAGTCCCCGTGGCCACTCAGGGCTCCAATCAAGTGCATTCTGTGACCCGCGATGATGGCCTGGCTAAGCTCACCATCAACACACACAAGAGCCTGAAGCCCCTGTTGATCACTGTGAGTCTGCACCAGCAGGACCCCACCCCAGGGAAACAGAGGACTTTATTTGTACAGCAGCTTCTAATGATTGTACAAAGGGATCTTGTCACGTGCATAGTGGGGGTCCTTTCATTTGCATAAATGGGCCTTGCCATTCACATAGAGGTGTTTCATTTGCATAGAGGATCTTGTCTGCACATGGGAGTCCTGCTGTCTGTATAGAGGGTCCTCCTGCCATTTACACAGGGCCTCCTGTCATCTGCATGGATGTCTTATAAGGACCCTTGTCATGACATTAGTGTGCCTGGGTAACCTAAAATAGTCTGCCCATGTCCAGATGCTTAACTCCATCCCATCTGCAAAGTCCCTCTTGTCACACAAGGTGCCATATTGCCAGGAGCCGGGGTTAGGACATGGACATCTCAAGTTGGCATCATGCATCCCTGTCTCCCTGCTCAGGTACGCACAATGAAGGAGGGCCTCCCGGAGGGGCGACAGGCTACCAGTCAAATGCAGGCCCTACCCTACGGTACGATGAACAACTCCAACAACTACCTGCACCTCTCTATGCCTGCCACGAAGCTCAAGCCAGGGGACACGCTCAATGTCAACTTTGTCCTGCAAATGGACCCCGGCCAGGATGCCAATGTCCGATACTTCACCTACCTGGTGTGTGGCTTCCTACAACCCCCAGGTCTCCCCCCTCCTCACTTCTCCAGCCCTCAGAGCCCTACCCCATTCCAGATCCTCCCACCCTCCTCCTGCCTTCCTTATCCTTCTGCCAACCTGTCTCCCAAGGTCATGAACAAGAGGAAGCTGTTGAAGGTGGGACGCCAGGTGCGAGAGCCCGGCCAGGTCCTGGTGGTGCTGCCTCTGACCATCACGACAGAGTTTATTCCTTCCTTCCGCCTGGTGGCCTATTACACGCTGAACAATGGAGGCCAGAGGGAGGTGGTGGCTGATTCCGTGTGGGTGGATGTCAAGGATTCATGTGTGGGCACGGTAAGCATTGCTGAGTCTCTGTGCCCATCTTGTGACTCTCAGCCCGGCAATGGCTTCTCTATCTCTGCCTCTGTCTGTCCTTCTGAACCCATTTCTCTCCCCTGCTTGTAGAGTTCCTGCCTTTCTCTTCTCCTTTCCTATCTTGTTTTCTTCCATTTTTTAGTCTCAGTATCTCGCTTGCTCCCAATTTTCTCTTTCCTTGACTTTCTACCTGATGCTGGTTTTGTGCATCTCCCTTCTTCTCTCTGTCTCCACCTTTCTCTCCTTCCAGACCAGACCAGGTCCCCTTCTGTCCTCTACTGACCAAGGCTGGGTCCCTGCTGAGCTAACTTCTCCCTCCTGCCCCTCCCACCTCCTCACAGCTGGTGGTGAAAAGTGCCATGAAGGAGGAAAAGCATCAGCATCTACCTGGACAACAGATATCGCTCAAGATTGAGGGTAACCAGGGGGCTCGAGTGGGGCTGGTGGCCGTGGACAAGGGCGTGTTTGTGCTGAATAAGAAGAACAGGTTGACTCAGAAAAAGGTATGTCCCCATGTCACTGAGTAAACATGGCAGAGGCAAAGAGATGGCGTTGGGTTGAGGTGGGAATGGCGCTGGGGACAACCAGTGACGTGGGGTTGAGTGTGGGTCGAGTGCAGAGGTCAAAATGGACACAGACATGGGGATGGGTTGAAGTTCAAGTTGCAGATGGAAATGTGGATGGACAGGGTCTAAGTTGGGGACAGTCATGGTAATGGGCACAGCTCTGAGTCCCACAGCAGCACACTCCGATCATCCACTGGGGAGTGTCTGGGGCCGGGATGAGGATGGAAGTGAGGTTGGGTCGATGCGTTGGTGGTGGCCTGGCCTCAGCCTGTCCTCGACCCCCTCCCCACCCTGCAGATCTGGGACACAGTGGAGAAGGCAGACATTGGCTGCACACCGGGCAGTGGAAAGAACTATGCAGGTGTCTTTACGGATGCCGGGCTGGCCTTCCAGACCAGCAAAACCCTGCAGACCGAGCAGCGGTCAGGTGAGGAGTCGGCCATTGGACACCCAGGGAGGGGCAGCACGTCGACCTCCAAGATAGGATCCGGGACCCTGGTGTCAGTCCTGCCTCTACTACCCACTAGCAAATCGTTCTCCTCTCTCAGCCTCAGTGTCTACATCTGTTAAATGGGAGCAATAACACTCCCACCTCGCAGCTACTGTGAGGAGTAAACCATGGACAGCCAGTCAGTGCTTAATCCATCTTGTTCCGTCCGCCTGCTCCTCAGATTTGGCATGCCCGAAACCAGCCACCCGGCGCCGCCGCTCAGTGCAGCTCATGGAGAAGAGGAAGGGCAAAGGTGGGAGCCCTCATCTGCCTCCCCCACCCTTGCACCCTGTCCACTGAGATCCCAGCAAAGTGGGAGGAGGGGATGGCCTGGACCTGGGCAGGTCCTCCCTGCGAGGCCCTGTGGGGACTTGACTGGGAGCGGGGGGTGTTCCCACAGCGGGTAAGTACCCCAGCAAGGAGCTGCGCAAGTGCTGTGAGGACGGTATGCGGGAGAACCCCATGAAGTACCCGTGCCAGCGCAGGGCACAGTTCATCCTCCAGGACAAGGCCTGCAGGGACGCCTTCCTGGACTGCTGCAACTACATCACCCAGCAGCGGCTGGAGCACAGCCGAGACAGCGACATGGTCCTGGCCAGGCGTGAGTCCTGTGGCGTGGATGTCCCTGCCTGAGGGCTGTTGGTGTTGGAAGGGGGAGGCGCCCATCACTGGGGACTGGAAATTGTGTGGATCAAATTTGCTTCCAAGAGCAAAGGCAAGTGTGAGCGGCTTGTGAAATTGAGGGAAATTAAGTTATCAATTACAGGATGAAAAGTAACAAAAAGAATGCTTCTGCTTAAAACCTAAGGAAGATTGGGAAACTTGCCCTGTGGCTGGCTGGCGACCAATGCATAATTAATGACCTTTTTTTCTTTAAACAGCCTTTAACTCACAGACAAACTTGTGCAGGTTAAAAACCTTTCCCCCACTTGAGCTGTTTGATGCCCCCAGAGTTCTGAATAGTTTAGTGAGGATTTTTTGGCAGCAAAGTTATTCTCCTAAACACCCCAGCACAATGCTCAGCATCAGGACAATAACGTGGATTCCTTTCCACCATGTAATTCACAGATTCCATCAAATGTTGCCACTTTTTAAATTATTTTATTTCTCTCTAGGAAAAGGACCCAGTTCAGAATCACACATTGCATTGGTGTGTCTGCTTGTGTCTCTTCAGTCTCCTCCTATCTGCCCAACCCCCAAGGTCTTTCTGTGATTCTCACACTCTTCACATACATGAGATATACAGGCCACATTTTCACATACATGAGATACAAAGGCCTTATCTTCACGCAAATGAGATTTGAAGGCCACATCTTTACATACATGAGATATACAGGCCATATCTTCATATATGTGAGATATACAGGCCATATCTTCATATATGTGAGATATACAGGCCATATCTTCACATACATGAGATTTACAGGCCACATCATTTGAAAGTTGTTCAGCCCCCTGAGTCTGCCTAATGTTACTCTTGCTCACAATCAGATTTTGCATTTTGGGCAGGGCTGTCCCAGAGGAGATATTTTGTCTTCCTCGGTGCCTCGGATCAGGAGGCAGGTAGCTTTGACTTGAACCGTCACTGGTGATGTGAACCTTGATCGCTTGATTAAGGTGGTGTCTGCCCTGTTTCTCCATGTAAAGTTTCTCTTTATTCCTTTTATGTATTTGTTATTATTATTTTGAGAGGCCCAGTGTATGAATTCGTGCACCAGTGGCGTCCCTCGGCCTGGCCTGTGGGATCATGCCAAAACCGGCTCTCCGACATCCCCTGAGGGGTCCCAGATTGTGAGAGGGCACAGGCCAGGCCGAGGGACCCACTGGTGCACAATCAGAGCCAGGAAGGAATGCAGAAGGTTGGCCTGCTGGGGAGGTCCACAGGAGGGCTCCAGGGCGTGTCCGGCCCTTCTCATTCAGTCCTTATCGGCTGGACCCCAGCAGCAATCTAACCTACCTTTTGGAGTGTGTGTCCCCTGGTGGTCAGTGCACATCTTAGGGAGCAGTTGAGTGGCCTTAGCATATCATTAGCATATTAATCTTTGATTGGTTGAATGGATGACCAGACGACCAGACACTTACCATATTAGGTTTTTATTATATAGGATTGATGTCAGAGAGGAAGGGAGAGGGAGAGAGAGATAGAAATATCAATGATGAGAGAGAATCATTGATCAGCTGCTTCCTGCACACCCCTCACTGGGGATCGAGCCCAAAACTGCATGTGCCCTTGACCAGAATCAAACCCAGGATCCTCCAGTCTGCAGGTTGACTCTATTCACTGGGCCAAACCAGCTAGGGCTGAGTTTTGTTTTCGTGTTTTTTTTTAACATCTTTTAAAATTTAAGTCAAGAGAGCTGTTCCCAAAGATCAATATCACTTAGCCTTTAAGATAAAAGATATGGATGGACGCCTTATGTGGTAACATGTGATTTTTGTTAACATGTTTACTCTGGGGAGTGGGGCTTAGGCAGCTGTTGCCACAGTGGAGAAATATTTCTAATTTTTTTTAGCTGGAAAGCTCGCATCCCCTTCACCCCTCCACCCACAAAAGACACAAAGATTCCCAACACACATGAGCAAAAGACTATCTTCAATCTCTTTGCAAATGATGACAACTAGGGAGGCCGCTTTCTACTCCTGACAGAGACTTTCTTCTGCAAAGAGAAGATAAGGCTACTGAGGGAGTTAGACAAACCTGCTGGGCTGTAGTTTACACCCACGGGGAGATTTATTTCCCAGTTTTGTGTATGTTTTTTAGTCAAGTGGGGGTGAGACAGAGGATGGCTTAAAGTTTAAGTGGTTCTCATACAGTTCCTCATGTTGTGGTGACCCCCAATCATAAAATTATTTTTGTTGCTACTTCATAACTGTAATTTTGCTACTGTTATGAATCGTAATGTAAATATCTGATATGCAGAATGTATTTTCATTGTCGCGACCCACAGGTTGAGAACTGCTGCAGAGCTTAGAAGCTTATGAAAATGCTTTTGTTTCTTTGCAAATCAGGGGAAATGAATATAACCTAGCCTGGATTATCCTTGCCTTTATACCAACGCCCTTGTATAAAATATGACTTTTAACATTTTTATGGAGGCAGGAGCCCTCAAAGGGGGTCTTTAGTTTACAGACAATTCATCATTTGTCCGTGGGTGTGCTTCGCTGCCAGGAACCCCTACAGGGCTGTAGAGATGAGTATCTACCAGCAGGGGAAGTGGGTCTGCTCTAAACCCAGATTGCCCCCCATCTGCACAGGTGACCTGGATGAGGAGATCATTCCGGAAGAAGACATCATTTCCAGAAGCCAGTTCCCTGAGAGCTGGCTGTGGACCATCAAGGAGTTGAATGACCCAGAGAAAAGTGGGTAAGGCTGAGGCACCCCTCATTCCAACCCACCCCCAGGCACTTCCTACCAACACTCAGGACCAGAACATTTAATTTGCATGCACACCTACCTCCTCTGTTTTCTGGAATCATAGTGGAACTCCACAACCCAACCTAGAAAAATCTCCACGTGCCCACACCCACACCTCCAACCTGCCCTTGGGGCCCCTCATTACCTGCTCTCCCTTCTACCACATCTTCTCCTAAGGCCCCCATTTCTCCTCCTCCTAGAGTCTCCTCCAAGATCATAGAGGTGATTTTGAGAAACTCCACCACCACCTGGGAGATCATGGCTGTGAGCTTGTCCGACAGGAAAGGTGAGGTGGTGGCTTCGCAGGCCCCAGGGC